TGGTGATTGACTAGGCCAGGTAAGTGTAGGGATGTTGTTTGTCGTTTTCCATTCAACCGTCTGTCTGGACTGGTGCACCGGACAATTATCCTCCTGTAGAATCCAGGGACTTGCAGGAAACTCTTTTGCAACAAGAGGCCACAAATTATAATCTAGGACCGAAATATATTTCTCGGAGTTTATATTTCCTTCTACTTCAGTCAAAGTTCCAACACCATTAAAAAATAAACACCCCCAGAACATAGCCGATATGCCGGAGCGGGGCGAATGACTACTATACTGTCCAAGACAATCGGGTTGAAATCTTTCTCCAGGTTTTCTCCAGACGTAAATTTTTCTATCCTTTCCTAAAACAACTTTCATCTCATCACTAAAAATGACCTGACTCCAGTTTTCCTCCACTGTCCACCCTAATTTGGATCGACACCACAAAACACGGTTTTGACGATTTGGTTTCGAGATTGTTATTTTCTTTGAAACGGAGCATCTTTGATATTTCTGTTCTTTTAATCTCCTTCTTACAGTTCTATTAGACACTTTCTGTGGTACAGATTCATTAAATTTATCAGTTAAATCTGACAGAGTCTGTCGACGATTTTTCTTTACCAACCTTGACAAGACGCGATCACCTTTTTCGCCCACGAATCGTTTTCTTCCCGGTCTTTCTCTGTTTTCCACGGAACCCCTTTCAGCATTTCGTTTTACAACCTTCTGTATGGAATTTGGACTTATTCCGATAATTTCCGAAATTTTCCGGCTACTTAAACCACTCTCATTCAATTTAATTATCGTCTGCTTTTGCTCGAGTGAAAGGTCTTTCCCCCTCGGAGCCATTTTGATTTACGTATGTTATGGTACTAAAAATAAATCTACGGAACTTCCTATGTGTGTGACGTCAGATATGACGTTCATGTATGGATGTGTGTAGTTGTCATTATTTTTTATCATATTACAATCGATAACATGAAGAGGAAAAACATTGTATGTTAATTTTAATTTTAACGGCGTCCATTTTGCGTACTGTATTATGGCCAGGTATTGTATTTAATAAAATTCGCGTCATTTAGAACCGAAATACCTTCTCCATCAACTTCAGTAAAAATGTATTTTTTAAAATTTATAAATGTAAATATTGCATTTGAATTAACTAATTTGTATATTTAAATTAACATGTACAGCAACCACCAGCCCCACCCAACCCCACCTCCACCCCCTTGAAAAACGGCAAACTTAGCAAAAAAATATCTAAATACTATAATAATTTGATAAACTATTGTGAAAACATTGATATAGTATAGTGATACTTTGAAACGTTAATTAACAATAGTAAAAACTTCGTAACTTTGATTTACTATAGTGAAAACTTTCGAACTTTGATTCACTATAGTAAAAATTTTGGAACTTTGATTTACTATAGTAAAAACTTTGAAACTTTGGTTAACTTTTGTAAAAACTTTGAAACTTTGATTAATTATAGTAAAAACTTTGGAACTTTGATTTACTATAGCGAAAACTTTGATTAACTATAGTTAACTATAGTAAACTATAGTTAACTATAGTATTTTTTGTTAGGGTATTTCTGAAAGCATGTGTAAAAATATCCCTCTTCCCGGCCTACCTTTCAAATATCTACAGATGGCACATCAGAGAAGAGACTATGATTGGATTAACAGCTTATTTACAAAGACTTTTCAGGGAAGCCAAAAATAACAAAACGTGCATTAATTATTACAGCTGTGTCAAAATCCATGGAAGAGAGATAACTCTAGATTCTGAAAATCGATATCAAATTGGTATTTATTATTAGCTTTTATATTCTACTGGGTACAATGCTATTTATTTTTATAATCCTTTTACCCCAATGAGTGTGTTTTTATGCAGCAAACAAGTCAACATACACTACATCAAATGCAATTTGATGAAACTGAGATAATTCCGTTTTCTATTATTTATTGAATATGTAATGATCAATTATCTCACAAGATCACCTGTATAAAATGGTAAATAAGTATGGATTCTTTATCATAATAAGGAGTACTAAAGAAAAGCTGCAAAAAAGAAATGATTTAAAAAAAAATACATCTTTTTTTTTTTTTTTTTTTACACCTGATAAGGGACGGAGTACCTTCAAATTATTCACTGTTTTGTAAATTTTGTATTTATTTGTTTTTGCTTGTTTTACATAACTTTTGTATTACTCTGCTTGTAAGTGATCAGCAGGTTCAGGCAGTTTAAATTCCGCAGTAATAAGATATTTCATTTTTGTGCTATGTCCATTCATTTTCATACTCTTAGACATTCCTGTATATAAAACTTGAATGTCACAGGTGACATCCGTGTCACCCTGATACATCTAATTCCAATAGTGTTTGGACCAACAAATTAAGTGGTAAAGAGCCAGGTCGGACTTTTTTCAGAGGCAATATACTATTGAAATGATAAATATAGCATATTATAGAAAATAAAAAGTGCTTATAGTGATAAAATATTTTCTGCACGGTTATGATTTGTATATGATATTATATTCAATATATATTTTTCGTCATTAAAACTTCTGACCGCTTGTTACAATGACGCACCTGACATTCTCATAACCAACACGCGTGTACCTTATGCAGCAAGAAGGTGGAATCCAAAGTAAGGTTGACGCCAGTGAAGACATTGCATTAACAGAATGTTATTGACACGTATTTTCATGGATTCAGTGATTCTGAGAAAGGAACTTGTTATAACCATCTTAAGATGGACTTAGGCATACATGTAGGTCTAGTCTGTAAAAAATGTTGAAGAAACATGCATTTCACCATGTACCGGACTTCAAGAAATATTTGATATTTATAGCCAAGTCTTGCTGGCTACAATGGATTTGTGTGAAACAGTAAGCTTAGCTAGGGACCCTCATAGAAATGCATCAGAAGATGGCATCTTCATGAATTTGATGTAAGTGGAAGAGTTGCTAAACTAATATGGTACATGTATTTTCCTAGAGTTGACAAAATCCCTGCCAGTGATGCCAATCAGGAAAACAGCTATATTTACTGCCTTTTCAAAACTGGGAAATACTCTCTCTCTCTCTCTCAAACACACACACACACACTTAATGTCTGATTTTGTTCATCAAATATTTTAGATCTTGTAGATGAGGCAGCTTTAAGTTTACCCTGAGATAAAAACATTCTCTACCGTGTATAAGAAGAGATAAAACGTCTAGTCAATATTAAATTAAAACACAATTTAAAACATTCGTTCACATGACACATTTTGCTGAAATGGTCAAGTATGGTTGCAAATTTATTTGCGATCAATAAAATTTAAATGTGAGTTTCAGAGCGTCTCAACTCCCAGATTTTTTAAAACCATTTTAAACTTTCTCTTGGTTTCCTTTTAGTTAGGATATGGCTGAGTCAAGTTACTGCACTGAGCGGTTTGAGAAAGGACAATCCAAGATTTACATCAAACTATAATTTTTTTCTCAAACCACAAAAATCTGACCCAACAAAATATTGGAGTTCCAGCAAGTTTTCACAGAACTGTTTAATTTCGTTTTTATCGTTCTTTTCAGAGTTCCTTCCGAGTATTATTAAGTTCAAAGTTGTTGGCATGTTTTGAGCGAGATCCAGTCTTGTGATTTTGACCCCAAATATTTTTTGGGGGTGGGGGTGTAATTTGGACTGTTCAGGGCAACAGAAGTGTGAACACTATATTTCGTCTACTTCTCTTGTGCTTGAATTGTAGCATCCTGCTTAATAATACACTCACAAATCGTTTTCTGGGAAACTCTGAACAAGCACGCAAGGTTCTAACATCTTTCAGTATCTTCTAATTAGCGGAAGAGATTCAGAAACGCAATGCATTTTCTACACTTAAGTGCCAGTTAATTATACCAATCGAAACTCAATTTTAAATGCTGCATTAATTTTAAAATTTATGGAATAAGACGTTGGTAAAACATGACAATCTTATGGCTAAAAGTCGTGAAAGACAGTCATCGGGAATGATACTAAATTCTAAAATCGTTTTGTAAAAACAGAATTCATAGCATACCAGGTGGTATTATGACAGTTATTCGTGCAGAAGGGCTAGAAACTAAAAACAAAAAAAAATTAATCAGGATGAAAACAGATGTAACATACATCCAATTACAAGAAGCCGATGTTCGTTACCCTCATTTAACATAACCCAGAAATTGATAAATTAAAACTTTTAAATACCATTTAATCTCAAAGCATATATATATACAGCTACAACCCATGTGAACATGACGCAATAGACTTGTTCAGACAATCTACTAATAAACTTCTAATTCACAATACAAATATTTAAATTGTTAATAATATATAGAAAATCTTCTGCTTGGACAAAAACAGGGAGCTAAACTTCCTTTATATGATTCTAGACACAATGTAGAACAGTTAAAGATTCAAATGTACATCATTGCATAACCGAAAAAAACCGCAACTGTGTGGAATGGAAAACAATTAAGGTTATGAAAATACTTTCACTTTGGAATTAATTCAAACGTGTCATATGTAAAATACATATTTGCTATGAGATCGTACATGTCTGTCCCACATTTCCATCACATTCTAAATAATATCTGTATTGCTTAACACAGAGTCGGCAGTATCATAGCCATCTTTTCAAAGAAAATATCTTTAAAAATGACAGTTTCATAATTTCCAGACCATTCCTTACCAAGGTTTGATACATACTAGTTTATTTTTATAGAATCAGAATGACACGATGTTTCAATGTCTACAGAATTGTGAGATTCGACAATTGCTTTAATGGGTAACGTTTTTTTGTCGACAGAGATTATCCGATAATCGAGTGTGACATATTTGAGTCCGAACGTTTACTTAAAATTTGTATTCGCTGCCTTGCTAACCTAGTTGGAAAGCCCATGTGTTAATGTATTTTGAGATATCATTTAAAAGGTGATGGCATTGGTATCATGATACAGACTATAGTCTAAAAAATTTTAAATTTCTAATTATTGGTTATGGTGGCACGACGACTTCAGATGTCTGCATTTCTGCAACTGTAGTGTCATTCTCTTTAGACGCATGCGCACAACAGCATGCTCGGAATCTGTCTATCACTTTGGGATGGAACAAAACTTGAATGAAGAGAATAAGGTAGGAATTTGTCATGTTGTTGATGATGTACATTCTAACCGCTTGGAAGTCTTTTTCCAGTGATCTGTCAATTCCAAACTGATTGCACATAAGCCTGATCTGCAATCCAGATGAAGAGTTATAGGTAATATATTTGACAATAAACAGAGAAATTACTAGTCGCCCGCATGGCGCACTACTTAGAGCCTCTGCTCTAGAGTCGCTAAGTAAGGAGCTGATCCTTACGTCGCGGGTATGAATACACTGCGGGACGTGAAGACCGGTCCTTCGGATGAGACCGTATAAACCGAGGTCCCCTGTCGCAGTAAGTGCTGGCAGGAGAAAGATCCCTCACTGCTCAATGGCCCTGATGCCAAGCAAAGGTCAAAATTTGCAGCTCTCCACCTGCAAGTGGTGGCGTCTCCATATTGAGTAAAATATTCACGAGAAGGACGTTAAACAACAAACTTGACTATCATAACCATTCATCAAATTTATCTGCTTTATATACAGGGGGAAAGAAGAAGATTTTTAAAGAATTTATGCATTTTCACTGTATAATCAATAGAGCCCCGCCTTAACACCAGAACTTCTGACCGTAGGACCAAGATATTCACAATTTTGGAAAGGGTGCCCTTGCTCAACATAACCTATTAAATTCATTATAACCATGCACCTAGTTTAATTGCTAAATATCTAGGGGTAGAGAAGAAGCTTTTTTAAGAATTTATGTATTTTCACTGTATAAACAATAGAGCTCCGTTTACATGTAACACCAGAACCCTGACCTAGGGGCCAAGATATACTCAATTTTGAAAGAGGCACTCTTCCTTATCATAACTATAAACATGTTTTATCTGCTAAATACCAAGGAGCAGAGAAGATTTTCAAAGAAATATGCATTTTCACTATATAATCAATACCCCCCCCCCCCTTTCCAGCAGAACCCTCTCATGCTGGGGCCACAAATTTCACAATTATGAGAGAGGCATCCTTGGTCATCATAATCATACACTTAGTTTATCTGCTTTACATACACGGGGAGAGAAGAAAATTCTTAAAGAATTAATGCATTTTTACTATATGATCATTAGAGCCCACCCTAACTCAAAAAACCCTGACCCTGGTGCCATGAATTTCACTCTTTTGGTTGAAGGCTCAATGCTCATTAAAATAATGCCAACAGTTTGACTGCTTGATGTCCAGAGTAAAGAAAAATTCTAAAGATAGCTCTAATTTTGATGGTTTTAGCCCCACCCCTCAGGCTCTAGGGGGCAGGGACCATGAAATTCACAAATTTTGTACCCCTTCACTCATTGATGCTTTACACCATAATTGGTTGATTTGGTTCAGTGGTTCAGCAGAAGAAGCTGGAAATGTTCAAAAGTTAACAACCGACGGACGACGACAGAGTAGCAATAGGTCACCTGAGTGACTCGGGACACCTTAAAATTCAACAAAAAATGGGGTCGGGGGTATAAGCAAACAAAAATTCCTTGACAAGCAAAAAAAGTTACCAACGTTTAAATGAAGTAATGCAACCATAAAAATCTATCTGTATTTGAGAATTATTGTAGATATTGGTATAGAGTGCAGGGGCCTGTTTCACAAAGGTTTCCTAAGATATGTCGTAAGATATAACTTAAGATATGCCTAAGTTATAACTTAGGAAGTTCCTAAGATTTATCACAGCTGTTTCATGAAACAATCTTATCTTAAATTTATCCTTAGACATATCTTAAGTCGTGTAACGGACTAATGAAATAACTTCTCCACTCTATCTACAATTCTTACTGTTAGGAGGATGTCAGTATGAGTAAATTTTTTTTAGTTTGAATCGGGTTTTTTCAAGTAAAAAAAAACTTGAAAAGGGGAGGGTCGGGAGGTTAGGGGTTACCCTTCACTTTGAAAGGACTTGGACAGAAGTATGGTTTAACCTTGACAAGTTTCCTACTTAAACTAAGCACTCACACACACACATACCCCCCCCGTCACAAGACGTGTATTTCTTTAAACTAATTTTTAAATTATTAAATTAAACTAAATTTGTTCTTTAATATGTTTGCCTTTTATTTTGCTCTGTATAAGGTATCGGAGGTTTGGAATGGTTTATCCCCCCCCCCCCCATATATTTTTCTACTAGTATCGTTTCAATTAGGAAATGGAATTATTATAAATTTAAAACAATAATTGCTTCGAAGGGCAAGCAATCTAACAGAGGCCTTATTTTCTTTTTATTTCTTCGCGAATGGGTGCTCCACGTTAGTTTTGGAGAGACAGCTATATCAGGAGCTGAAGAGAACAAATTAGTTCCCTTATCAAACTATAATCTTTCAAATACTAAATATCGATTCAAATACTAGTAATATTATTAGATTTAAAAATATATAATAATGGTTCAAATTATATGCAAAGTTTTGTAACACAGACAATAGTGTATATAGCGTGGAATTTTTTTGTATACAAAATCGAGCTCTTTAAATAAAGGGGAATTAATCCAACATGTGCACCGTCTATTTTGTAGTAACATTGGGAAATCCACGAATTCGTGAGAAATCAAACATTCTTTAAGTACAATGTATTTGTAGTTCCAACTTCACCAATGGACATTTTTATTTATCTTGGATTAATTTTGAACAGTGATAAAGGCACATCTCTGACAATTCTTAAAATCCCTTTCTTAGCTATTACATACAAACTAAAGCAGTTATAACCTAAAGGGGTCACAATTATTCATATACTAGTAGTCCTTTGGATTTTTTCTCTCCCTGAGCACACACAGTATCTCTCTGTAAGAATCCTTGTACATGTATCTACAGACAACATATTTAGTTTATTCCTAAGTCATTGATTTACTTGTCTTAAAGTTACGACATAACTTAGGAATATCCTAAGATAAGACGAGGCTAGTGAAACGGATAAGTAATGAACTTTGGAAAAAGTTCTTTCCTAAGATACAACTTAGTCCTAAGTTAGCTTTGTGAAACGGGCCCCAGGTCTTTAAAATAAAAACTAAGAAAGGCTTTTGCACTATAAATAGATCTCTTACTCCTCAGATCAATGGCCTTGAGTGCCGAGTAAAGGTCTAAATTTGAAGCCCTTTACCATCATCCGGTGACGACTCATGAATGAAAGAATTTTGCTATCATGTTGTTTTTTAATTTTCTATTTGGAGGTAAATACAAACTTTACAACTAGATGACAGTAAATTTTGTATTTGCCTCCAACAAGTATATTCAAAATTTAGAAAATGATATTGCAATGCACGTAAAACTACAACAATCAATCACAGGAGCCCTGGCTTTGTGACCATAAAAGAACTCTCAGAGGAAAAAGTTCTTAACTCAATTTTTTTCTTCAGAATTCTTATTTTTCTCAAATCGTGAACAATCCACACACATAATATAACCAGAACCAGAAGTCTATGATGAGACTAGTACTGTAGCTCTACAAGGAAAAGTAGCACTTGGATATGAAACTTTGCAACATGCAACAATAAACAGAATTATGTATCATAATGTAGTCTATTTGTGTGCCAAGTTATATTGAAATCAAACGAAAACTGAAAGAGGAGTAGGGTTTTGAAAGTATTTCACAGAAATTTCTATTTTTAGTAACCATGGCAACACCATTCACTGAAATCAGAAACCGATATACACTATAGTGTACTCCATTTGTGTGCCAAGGTATATTGAATTCAGACCAAAACTGTAGCAGGTGATATGTTTTAAAGAAATTTTACAGAAATTTCTATTTTTAGAAACCAGGGCAAAACCATTCAACAAAATCAAAAACCAGTTCATCAAAGCATGCATCTTAGTGTAGTCTACTTGTGTGCCAAGTTATATTAAAATAAAAAAAAAAACGTTCATCATAATCCAATACCGATGCACTTAATCATGTAATTATAGTATAATCTACTTGTATGCTAAGTTGTATTGAAATCAGATCAAAACTGTAGCAGGAGTAGCTTTTTAAAATATTTTCAGAAATTTCTATGCTTAGTAACTATAGCAGCACAGTTAATCAAAATCAAAAACCGATGCACTTTATTATATATCTTAGTGTATCTTATCTTAGATACAAGTATCTACTTGTATGCAAAATTATGTTGAAATCAGACCAAAACTATAGCAGCAGTAACGTTTTGAAGTAATTTTGCGGAAATTGCTATTTTAAGTAACCATGGCAACACCGTTCATCGAAATCAAAAAGCAATGTTTTAAATTATGCATCTTAGTGTAGTCTACTTTTGTACCAAGTTATATTGAAATCAGACCAAAACTGTAGGAGGAGTAGCGTTTTAAAGGATTTTCACAGAAATTTCTATTTTTAGTAACCATGGCAAAACCTTTCATTGAAATCAAAAACAGATGCACTTAATCATGCATCATAGTGTTGTCTAATTGTGTGCCAAGGTATATTGAATTCAGACCAAAACTGTAGGAGGAGTAGCGTTTTAAAGGCATTTCACAGATATTGCTATGTTTAGTAACCATGGCAACACCGTTCATCGAAATCGAAAACCGATGCACTAAATTTTGTATCTTAGTGTAGTCTACTTTTGTGCCAAGTTATATTGAAATCAGACCAAAACTGTAGGAGGAGTAGCGTTTTGACAAATTGTTTACAGACAGACGGACGGACGGACACGTTACTATCGCATAAGCTCTTCTGGTCTCTGACCAGTAGAGCTAAAAATTCTTAGATGGAATAAAGAAAAAGTGAGCAAGCTCAAATACCCCACGCTCCCTCCAAAACTTGACAATGCAACACGTTATGAATGGCACAGTGCATTTTAAAAACATAGTATAATTCAAAAAGGGGCATTACTTGCAAAAAATCGTCACATCTAAACTTCTTGCCTATAAGCAAATTCAAATCTTTGTACATTACAAATTTAATAGGGATGAAGTTTCTAGATAAATAATGGAATCAAAATTTCTTGGTAATATACAAATCTATTCATTATGTCTGAAATACCTAAGTTTCAGGAAATTCAGTGCAGGAGTTATGCTGACAAATTGTTATTTAAATTCCTCAGTGATTTCGATTTGTTAATGAGTGTAAGTCCATGTCCAACACATGACAACTTACACATTTAAATAATTGATGGAAAC